AGTAATACTAATAATCTACACTCTCCTTAGCATTCTACTTTTCTACTACTTCTTAGTATCTATTACCTCCTATTGGCATAAATACCTAATAACTTTGTCAACCAAAATTAGGTTTGTGACAGCTAAAATTTGAACTTTAATAATTTTCACAAACTTCATTCACACCTCAATCTAGTGTGCTATTATATGAGCTATTTCTTACAAGGTGTAGTAATCTAATATCATATTAATGTGGCCAATTTAGAATGCTGTAAAACAAGATTATTGTCAACTTTGCTACCTCTAACTATTCTTTCGCATTAAATGGCTTAAATCCTCCAAGGAAGGGGGGGNATTAAAACGTAATTAAATGTAGGTACCCACATTAAATAGAATTATTACGGTTGATTGTGGTTGTTACTGTTGATGAAAATAAAGCAAGGTCCAGAAAATAATTGCAATAATCTACAATTACAAATATGTAAAAGCCTTCTGAAAATTGATTTTAACTCCCCAAATGTATTTTCCTTTTTCCTTCTTTTTCTTTTGTGGTTGAAAGAGTAAGGCCATCCAACTTTTCGTATATATATATATATNAATTTACACACATAATAGACATCTGAACACAAGAAAATCCACATTACAAATACACCAGAAGGAGGGGATTAAAATTTAACCCCCAAAAAAAAGGTAGTGTGTCTTGAAACTTCAGAAAGATTAAGGCTTCTTGAGGGAACTTAAGAAGACTTGTGGAATGGAATGGCTCTGATAATTATTTGGTGGTAAACTGCAGCAAGTGCAGCTCCAATGAATGGTCCAACCCAAAAGATCCACTGTTGAAAATCAATAAAAACAAATTACAACTTGTTAGCTATAGCTCATTACCATGCCACAAAAAATAAATTTTTTTTTTTTTTTTTTTTTTGTTACAATAACGGTGACGTTCAAACCAGCTTGAGAGAAAGAAATGTTTCTTAAAGATTTAGATTGAACGCTTACGTGGTCGTCCCATGCCTGATCTGTGTTGTAGATGATCGCAGCTCCAAGACTCCTAGCGGGGTTGATGCCAGTTCCGGTGATGGGAATGGTGGCCAAATGAACCAAGAACACCGCGAATCCAATGGGAAGTGGTGCCAAAATCTGCAACACCATCCAAATTTTTCACAATGATGCCTTGTTTTTAATAAGAATTTTAACTTCTATACGCTGAAGAATGTAAAGTTACACTTGTCAAATCACTTAAACTACAGATGATTGTCAACACACAAGTTTAATGTTATTAATTTAGTTAGATTGGTGTTAAGGACTCATTGTTTCATTTTACAACCATGAAAAATTTTTAAGCTATGTCATAAGTTTTAAACCCTTTTGGGAGTAGATGAGAATTCTTTCAAACACAACTAGGACCACAACATTCAGATATGGTGAATCACTGCATTATTTCATCTATCTAAACAAAAAGAGCCAAACCTACAGTAGCTCATTCACGTGAACATCACTATCTTTAGCCAAACTCATAGCATATTTTTCAATGGCATGGGTCCCCTAAGATAACACACAACACCAACTAAAAGCACTTGCTGACAAAACCAAACATGGCACATGCTAGCATGAACATCATTTTTGCAGCACCAAAAAAGTAAGACCACCTGACGTTGTAAATAACTTTTACACTATTAGTATAATTTAATATGACGATAGTACATTGTTTTACTCTCAGAATTTAACTTATATACTGACAATATAATTTTTTTAACCTGTTATAATAGGTATCTTATCTTTTTTCTAAAGGTTACTAATTTTAGTTTTTATAAGTAGTTACTGCAGTCATATATCTTAGGTGACACTATTAATGTATAAACTCATATTTCTCAGGTAACTAGTTACACTTATTATGGACGATGTCACCTATAATTATCCTGATAGGGTTAACAAAACTGTCAATATGTAAAAGTTAAAACTCTATCTAAAACCAACCCACTCACACACCCCACAACTTCTGCTTCCCCAAGAAAACTTTCCATAAAGTAATACTATTTCATATAAGTGGGAAAAACAAATTCAAGCAGAATTTACATCCAACTCTCTACCTCCCACAAGAGGTGGATGCAATGTATCAGAACCCAGAACCCGTAACTTTTGATGTGAAAGCATAAATTTATGTATAAAAATTCAATAATACTCTAATATATAGTAATATGAACCCATAACGATAAAAATACAATGAGTTCCATGCTAAAAACTTTAAAGTTAGAAGCCATAAAACTTAAATCTATGCCTCCCACAACAACCAAAGCTTACAAGTACAAGGTCAGATGCCTAAATCCAACAGGTAAATAGTCAAGATAAGCAATTTGATCGCACAAAGAAGTAATATTTGAACCAAAAACATGTTAATCTTGAAATTAGTATAGAACACTTACAGGAACATGTGAGTCTCTGGCATTTCTCTTGGCATCAGTAGCTGAGAAAACAGTGTAAACAAGGACAAAAGTGCCAATAATTTCAGCACCAAGGCCATCACCTTTGGTGTAACCAGAGTTAACAACATTAGCACCCCCACCATGTCTCTGGTATGGACCTACCATGAATCCCTTCACAACACCAGCACCACAGATTGCACCAAGGCATTGCATCACTATGTAGAAAACAGCCCTGGTTAAGGACAGTTTCCTTGCCAAGAACAATCCAAAGGTCACGGCTGGGTTGATGTGTCCTCCTGTTTCATGTCAAAACACAATATAGTTCAGTTTTAGAGAAAAATAAATAAACCCCAAAGGTCCAAAAGCCTAACCAAAGAAGGAAAAGACTCCATATTTTTGTAATTTAGACAGTGAAAAGTACACCGTTAACCATGTTTTCAACCTCTAAAACAGGGAAAAGCTGATCTTTTTTGTAAGTAAATTCAAGAATCCATTAGATTACTTGACTTTAGTATGATGTATAAAGCAAGTAACTAAAAGCTCAAATATGGTGAGCAAAAGAGAATAAACAAGGAGGGTTAGCCACAAAAGGCCATACTTTAAGTATAAAGAGGTAAAAATACAAGCTTGAGCAAGGCAAATGACTAAGAACCAACAATAATGGAAGGGAAAACTCCACTTTTTGCAATTTAGACACAGCAAGTAAACCAATTACATGTTTTGAACATATAAAACAGGGAAAAACTGAATCTTTTTTATAAATACTCAAGAATCCATTAAATTAGTTGACAAAAATATGATGCAAGTACAAAGTAACCACAAGCTAAAATATGGCGACCAAAAGAGAGGAAAACAAAGAAAATCAGCCACAAAGGGTCACATGTTTACAGTATAAAAAGTACAGGTGAAAACTGAAATTTTTTCTTAGTACTCAAGAATCCATAAAATTACTTGACAAAGTATGATATACAAAATAAGTGACCACAAGCTCAAATATGGCGCCACAAAAGGCTATACTTTTAGTACAATAAGAGTAAAGGAACAAACTTGAGCAAGATTAAAGACTTCATTTTCTGTAATTGAGACGGATAAAGTTAACCAATAAACATGTTTTCAACTTCTAAAACAGGAAAAGACTGAATCTTTTTTTATAAATACTCAAGAATCCACTCAATTAGTTGACAAAAGTATGATGTAAGTACAAAGTAAACCACAAGCTAAAATATGGTGAGCAAACGAAAGTAAACAAAGAAAATTAGCCACAAAATGTTATACCTATATATTAGCATAAATGAACAAGCTTTAGCAAGATAATGACTAAGAAACAACAAGAAATGAAAAGGAAAAAAACTAACCTGAGATACCAGCAGTGCAGTAAACCAAAGCAAAGATCATACCACCAAAAGCCCAAGCAACACCTTGAATACCAACTGAAGAACATAAACTATCAGATCTCTTAAGACCCATCACAGTCAAGATAGTGATGTACAAGAACAAGAAAGTGGCCATAAATTCTGCAATTCCGGCTCTGTAAAAAGACCAAGATGACAACTCCCCTGGTTCAAACAAAGGAGCTGGTGGTGGCTCTTTGTAATCTTTGTCTGTTTGAGCAGCTGTTCCTAATGGCTGTGTTTCTCTGAATTTGTTAGCTCCAAGCTTAACATCTTCTTCTTTGTTTTCTGCCATTTGAACACTCACTAAACTTCGCTTCTTTTTCTCTCTTTTTTGTGCTAAGTGGACAGTTCAAAAACCAAGTTTGGTGTTGAGAAAAGATAGGGTTGTGGTTGTTTTATAGTGGAGAACTCATTATGAAGACAAATTAATTAAAGTGTGACATTCTTATTTAATTGGTCTGGTTAATTATTGAGTTGGTCGGTCTATATTTTTTCCTAATTAGCATAATCAATCTGTCATTAACAATTAACAAGAAGAGGAGCAAAAGTAATTTGTCGAGTTGCTGTCATGTGATTCGGAGATTATGGATTTGAGTCGTGAAAATAATTTCTTATAAAAATATAGCATAAGTAAGTATATAATAGATCCTTATGGTCCGTCCTTTTCACGAACCCCGTATGTAGCGAGAACTTAATGTATCGAACTGCCCTTTATTCTGTCATTACCATACTATGTGTTGTACCCCATGGGCTAGTTTGGTACGAGAAATAAAAAATAACTAATCTCATGATTATATTTGAGTTATCTCATGTTTGATTGGGATAAAGTAATACTAAA